TAATTATTCTTGAATTATCTTATGTGACATTTATTTATTTTGATAAAACATGATCTTGTAAGATCTTGCTCAGATCTTACTGTTGCAATCACTTTTTATAAAAGCATTGCGTCCTAAAATCTCATGCAAGAAAACGACTGATAATTTAAGATCTTGCTAGTAAGATCTCATCACACCCTTCATGTTCTTTGTTCCAAAACCCAGTAAGATCTTGCTGTGATCTTATATAAAATTCTTGCTTATACCTTTCTCATATTATGCAAGATCATGTTGGATCACAGATAATTCTTAACATCATGATCATACAAGATCACGCATTATCTTTGTTCCAAATACCAATAAGATCTTGCAAGATCAAACCTAAGATTCATGCATGATCTTAAAAAAATCATGTAAGATCTTGCTGAGAATTTTCACAAGGGCAGTATGCATCCGAAAATGCTGTGATAGCATTCTTGATAAATTACTTACCTAATGGCACATTGTCCTGCGGAGTTTTTAACACAGACCACTTCCTTGATTCTAAAAAGACTCAAGAATAGAAACTAATTCTATCAATGGCGGCTCACCAATATCAAAACAGTCGACATTGAGGAAGAACCTATAATCATTTCTACCACCATACATGTAGAGTTTCCCCCTGTAGTATATGCAGGAATGAGCATAGCGTCCTGATATGAATTCACTGTAGTCCAGAGGAGGACAGTCTATTCTGCTGTTAGTAGTAGAAGGTATGTGTATTTCAACTTCTTTAGGAGGATATATCCTCTCCCACGTTGATGAATCTGAGACAAAGAAAAAATTTATTTAAAGAACTAATTGTATATAATTTAGTGATGGGCGATTCCAGAAATTTGCATTCGATTCCGATTCTGAATACTTTTGAGACTGGAATTGATGGAATCGAATACCGATTCCGAGTATTACATCTGCGAATGCGCAAAGCCATGTGGTATCAATTACAGCAATAAAAATGCAATAATGATGAATAATTGATGTGTTAACTACTGATTAATTAACTATTATTAATATTAAAAGGTGTGGCTGGGTATGGTTTTTGATTCGGAATCGTTTCAAACGATTCCTACTACGAGTACGATTCCATTCGGAATCGAATACTCCGGACGCGGAATCGCCCATCACTAATATAATTACTGTATACATTCTACATGGCAAAATGGCATCAATATTCAGTACTGTTTATAGTGCACGATTGAAAAAAAGCTGTTCAAATCAACACAATGTATTTAGCAGAACAATGAGACTGGAATAATTTATTTCTACCCACACAAAAATTATGAGTTATTGGCTCCTCCCATTATAGATTATCTAAAGTTTCTTTTACCAGTATCGAACCTCTGTACATCTAATGGTACGTCTCCAAGGTCATTCCAGGTCTCGTTGGTTCTAATGGACTTCCCTCTGCCGCTGAATCCGCCAAGAGCATAGGCAGATCCATCGGCAGAGCTCATTGCGTGATTGACTCTGTCTGAAAACCCACAGTCCTCCCAGTTGGTCCACTTATAGCCTCTGAAAGTGGAGGGCCTCTCCGCAAAAGGAGCGTCGTTGCTTTTAAATGCAGCCATTGACTTTTTGCGAGATTTGTTTACATATTTTTTACATAATTATCTTTACGTACATATTCATAGTGTTGGGCGTGGCTAGAAGTCTTAAGTGACCAATAGAATCGCTAGAAACACGTGTAAAAATTCCTATTATAAATTATTAACTAATACAAATCAAACTTGTCAACAGACATTATTTTAATGAAAAGTCAATACGAATGAGAGAAGCTCAACTGACTATCACCTAGACGAATCTAAATATTTTGTCTAAAAAGGAAACAGATAATCATTCAACAGTATCATTATAAAAGTCCTTACAATTCTTGTCTAATGTGTATAGGAAGACCAGCTGTACTTAAGTGAAGTTCTTTCACAACCATCATACACAACTGCTGTAGCGTTGGTACTACAATAGAAAGAGATAGAGTGGTGCATTCTATCTTAGTCAAAACTCACATAAGGACAATACAAATGTGTCAGAATGATCATGAAGTATCAAGTGTTTCTTTCCATCATAAACCCTCTCAGTTGGACTAAAGAGAGAGTGCGAGAATTAAAGGAATAAAAATCTCGTCTCTCTACCTTGTTCCGCCACAGAGTATGAGCTCGTTGTTAGTAATACAATAGCCACACCTTCTACGAGGGCTGGGAGGTATGCCAAAAGGTATAATCTCAGTTGTAAGACGATTAACTAAAAGAAAAGAGATTCAAAATAAAGAACAGGTCCTGTTGTAAACATCCATTATAAAAAATATATATATAATTGAGAATTCTCTCATGGCCATATTGGTGAAATTAATACACTGTACTACTTATAGTATTTTTGGTTGAAGTAACTTTAAAAAATCGTAAAAAATCGAATCTTGGTCGAAATCAGCTCAAACTTGAAAAATAACATAAGAACATGTATATCAATCAGGAAAAATTATAAAAATGAAGAATTTTCTCGGAGCCATTTTTGACGAAATTTGGCCAAATACCAAAGGCTATAGCCTTTGGTATTTGGCTGGATTTTGGAGTAACTTTAAAAAATCGTAAAAAATCAAATCTTGATCGAAATCAGCTCAAACTTGAAAAATAACATAAGAACATGTATATCTATCAGAAAAAATTATTAAAACGAAGGATTTTCTCAGAGACATTTTTGGCAAAATACCCTGTACTATAGTATAGGGTCTTTGGCCCAATTTTGAGCAATTTTTAAATATACTGGCAAGCACTACATGCATGCTAAAATTATATGGGGAACCCTGTTCCGTTACTTACGAGAATCATAAATGAAGACGTCATTAAAGTGTCTCTTATTTCCTCCATTGTATCCGCCAAAGAATAAAATTTTATGAACGCCACATCTAACGGCACAATGACTCCTCCTAGCGTGTGGCTGATACCCATCTGGTTTTGCCACTTTCACCCATCTAAGCTCATCTATTAGTAATGAAACACCATATACATACATGTAAATGCATTATTAATTTGCAATCTAAATATGGCATTATAGCCACAAATATTTGAAATTAAAGAATGACGATAATTCAAATCATCAAATCAATTAGTCTAATTGGCTTACCAAGGAGATACTCATAAAAAGCCGTGTCAAATATATCTTGATTGCTAAAATCAGGAGCAATGATATCAGCTGGAAAACAAGATAAAAAGAGGACGCTTAATTGTCATGAGCTTATCCATACTTACATCGTCCACCAAAAACAATGACTTTCCTTTCTACGTGTGTCGCAGTATGGAAATCTCTTTCTGGACAGCGATCACCATTAGGAGGTAGTAATCTAAACAAAGAACATATCCTCCATTTTAAATACTACTTTAAACGTACGTCCATATATGGCTATCCATGTCAAAAGCATAAAGGTCGCCAGTGAATACTAATGAGCCAGTATCAAAGCCTATGGACAATGAAATAGTGAGTGTCTTTACGTAAATTAAGTGCTTGACACTTACCTCCATGCAAATACATGATGTTTCCTTTGACGGTACATGCATGTCCATCTCTTGATCTTGGTAGTGCGCATCCTTCAGCAGTAGCATGTATCTTTAACCACATTGATCGGGTTACATCAAAACACTCCATCACTCTAAAGGAGCCATCGTCGTCATTACGGCCTCCATACATGAATATTTTATCCTTATATCCAACACAGGCATGTCCATAGCGACGGGGCGGCACACCTCCTCTGATTGGAATGTCTTTATTTTTTGTTCTGCGTATCACATCAACTTTTGCCCATTTACGAGTTTCTATGTAAAAAATCGAAAAAAAATTAATAGTCTAGGGGTGCAAATATGAAAATGACTATTATGTACAAACTCCACCCACCCACAATAAGTTTCGCCACTGCATAATAACTGTAAATATCATAAAAATAACAAAGATGCGGTAGAAAATTCTTAGACAATACGTCGGAATGAAAAAAAAAACCGAATGAACTTTTATTACAAACATTAATCCCCCACGATCCTTACCAACGTCCATGCAATGTATATCAATAGGGCCAGTGTTAAAAGGAGAAGGGTCATTCTCGGCTTTTGCCCTCCTCTCCTTCTCCTCATCACTTGCATGGAACCCTCCAATGGAGTACACATAACACTTGCCGTCTTTCCCATTACGAGCTACAGCAGTAGAGTGGTTCACGCGACTAGGGAAGCCGCTTTCGGGGTATTCGGTCCAGAAAAAACAACGCTCTGGTGGCCGTGGCCTACGCCTTGCTTCTTCAGCCGCTGAGACAGGATCTGGTGGCTCTACCTGGGGTGGACGGATACGCACGTCTAGACGTGGCAGGGACATGGAGAACTGCGTTCTGCCTCCTTCTTTCTTTTCTTCAGACATTTTCTTTCTCTATCTCGAATTTTCTCCTCCTAGTAACGCCCTATAGGAAATACCTCTGTGGTGTCACGTGCAGTATCTGGCACTATCTGGATGCAACCAAAAGCCCATTATGTAAACCATTGATACTGGACCATGGATACTGGCTCCTGGAGCCAGAATCATGATGCAACTGATATGATCAAACTTTTATACTTTTACATTGCCAAATAAATAAATAAATATAAAAACAGAAGAATAATGAAAGCCTCGTGCTAAATTCAGTTAAAAATTTTGTCTGTAGAGAAAGAAAATAAATAAAGCATATGATTATGATCAAGAGTAGATAATAGAAGAGAGTGTCCTACTGTGATATACCCCCTGCTTCATCACGTCGTAGAATTGAAGAGTCAC